TTTTTTTTTTTTTTTCCTAGTGAGGCTAGTGGTGAGGTAAAAATTTTTTATTCCGAGCTGTGGAGTATTTTCGGTCCAAATAGAGTTTTCGTGTTAGAATGGTTATGGGTGGCTAAGCAGTAACCAAAGATCAAACTTTCTTATCAGTGGGCATCCATCTCGCTAATGTACTTGGGGATTTACTTAGCGGATCGACGTTACAATGAGTTTCACTTATTGGTTACAGTGGTTGTCTTGTACTCAGGGCTTCGTCACACTGCTTTTCAACGCAGGGCTTGGCTACATGAGACGGGAACTAAATTTTGGATGTGCTAGAGCTTCTGTGGTTGATGCATATGGAGAAGGCACAGCCTTGCCAAAACGCCAGAAAAAAAAAAGGGGGGGAGAAGGTTTTTGTTGTCATTTCAGAAGCACCTATTCTTTGAGAAATTTGATAAGGAATTTTAAGAACTCTAAATGAGGAAATTTGGAGTGTAACTCGTCGTGTTAAAGTCAACGCACTTGCCAAACGATTTAGAAGTGTCCAGCACTGCTAGTGGACGATCGAGCGCGCCCTAACTTTATATTTGAAAAAGGAATTTATGTCGTTTAATTCGGTGCTAGAACTGTGTGTTAGCTTTAGAAGCTTTAGAAGATTAGCTTCAGAAGATTTTCTGTGCAAGTTATGACTGGAGTTGAGTCATATCCATTTAAAAGGTTTCTAGCTGAGAAGGCGAGAAACAATTTTGGCTTATTATTTCTGTTATTCTTTTTTTGTTTAACAGGTTCTCCATCTTTATCTGTGAAGGTTTGATTCGCTGATATTGGAACTGTAGTGGCAATTGCGAATTGTTTATGGTGTCAGTTTTCGCGTCAAAGTAGTTAATTACTCGAGCGGTTCACAGCTTATTGCTTTGGTTTTTTGCGAGGGGAAGGAAGTAGATGATGGGGGAGGACTTTTTCTGTTAAGACCTATTTGTTTATGCTAGAGTGCTAATTGTATCTAATGTTACAAATTCTTGCGTCGTGTTAATTTTTTGGTAGTCATGTGATCGCCCCATGTTGCTCAGCGTAACTGACGAATAATGAGATCTGAATTGAGTTTCCGCCTCGCTATTGATGCTGTTTTAGAAATGTCGGCACACGATAGAAAAGCAGAAATCTAGGTATTCGAGTACTGTTTAGGGGATTACTTACATTACATAGTTGTCAAGGAATTATCTGGCAGGATTTATTGAAGTTGCTGTTTAGGATTTTTTTTGTCTAAATCTGTGGAAAACGCGTTTACCTGGAGTAGACATTGTTCAGTTTTTTTGCAAAGCTTTAGAACCGTGGTTCGTAAGCAGCTTTGAATGATGGACGTGATGGATTGACGCGTGGCTATTGGTGGCGTTATTGTTGGTTGTCTTGAAGACAGGTGACCTCAAATACTTCGGTGACATATTGGGGGTTGTTGCATTTGATTCTCGCTGGCTTAGAAACCGATTTCTGGAGTTTTTCTTTAGACGGGTCTGCGCGATCTTCAAATCAATATCCGGTTTTTGTGAGCCGCTGATTGTTTATCTTATACTCGCTTACTCGTTTCGCGAATTGTTTTTATGCTGATTTTTACTCTGTTATTCCGTTCAAATTGCTATGCTTGGGCTGTATCAATTTTTCGCCTATTCTTTAGTTACAGACCTGTAATATCGCTCTTTTTGTATTGTGCTCTGATCATTTGGAACTACTTCGACTTGTTCCAGATTTTAACCTACATTCATACTGTATTCCCCTATAGATATTGATCCTTTGCTCATTTTCTATATTTTTGGAAATTTTTGTGTGCATTCACTCCTGGAAGTGTGAATGTGGAAGGGCATTTAATGGATTTCCTTTTGATACCTTGATAGAGTGGGAGTTCTTTAATTTACAGATTAACAGAAACGTCAAGACGAAGTATGTTGAATGGTTTTATCAGAGCTAAGAGTAAATTATCAAGTGTGAAGGTTGGTGACGCAGTTTTTTCGGCACAGTTCAAATTCCATTTATATCTAACAGAAATCACAGACTGGCCCATTGTTTTCTGTTTGTTGCTTGTCGGAACTTCAGCGTTTCAGGCTTTATTTATTAGATAACTACCAGGATATATTAGAGTCGCTGTTTTTTTCCGATGAGTCTCTGCTTTTCATTTGGAGAGTTTTGTGAGATTACTTATTTGCTCTAAGTAGTTGTAAGAGTTTTCTTCTAGTTCTAACCCTTAGCAACATATGCTTTCTCTGGATCTTACGACTATAAGTCAGAAGAACGATGGTATGCTTCGTTAACTTGCTTAGCAGTTTACCATCGTGTAATTTTAAAGTTTGTCAGTTTTTGAATTTCATTTCTAGATTTCCATTATATATTCATTATCTTATCGTGTATTTTTGTTACCCCTCTCTAAAGTGGTTTCACTACTCATTGTTGGCTGTTTTGAAAAGTTTATAGAAGCACAGGTGACATAGTCTTGACTGGAAGTTTTTTCTTCTCGTCTCAGAATCTTGTGGCGTCCATTTAATCGTGTGCCAGAAAGAGTTACATTTTCTACGTATTGAGACGGACGTTTTTATTTGGTTGTTGCCATACTTTTTGGAGTTGCACTTTTTAAAGTATTATTTGCGTAATTCGTTAAGCGATAGCAACGGCTGAGTGTTTTTATTTCTACTTTTATAGTATCTTTTTTTCAGAATTTTCCGTTATTGATAATATTGAAAGAAGGACAGTAATATGGCACGTACTAAGCAGACAGCGCGTAAATCTACTGGAGGTACGAAGAGGTTTTGATTGCAGTGGGAAAGGCACTTATTTGTGAGCTGAATGGCACTAATGCCTAAATTTTGTATCTTTTTTAAGGCAAGGCTCCTCGAAAACAATTGGCAACAAAGGCAGCACGTAAATCAGCGCCGTCCACTGGTGGTGTTAAAAAGCCGCATCGTTACCGTCCAGGTACCGTTGCTCTTCGTGAAATCCGTCGTTACCAGAAATCTACCGAGTTGCTTATCCGTAAACTTCCATTCCAACGTTTGGTTCGTGAAATAGCGCAAGATTTCAAGACCGATCTTCGTTTTCAGTCAGCAGCTATTGGTGCCCTTCAGGTACAAGAATATCTGGCTGTATATTTCCGTTTCTTAATATTTTAAAAGTGTTATTAGCATATATTCCTTTCCAGGAAGCTAGTGAGGCTTATTTGGTGGGTCTGTTTGAGGACACTAACCTTTGCGCTATTCACGCCAAACGTGTTACAATCATGCCAAAGGATATTCAACTGGCTCGTCGCATCCGTGGAGAAAGGGCATAATTTGTCCCGTAGTAGTCAGGGGTTATGGATCGATG